CTCCAGAGCAGGTCTGGCCAAGACTTTGTACAATTGAAATATCACTTCCTCACTTCTGAATTCCAACCTCCTTGAGATGAAGGTCAATATTCCACTAGCCTTTCTGATTATTTCTGTATTTCGAAAAAAATTCTTGTATGAGATGTGAGCATCACTCACATTTGTTCCCCATCCCTCACCATCCCTTGAACTGAGTGGCTTTCTCGGGCCATTTCAGAGCTCAGTTATTAAATCAACCACATTTTTGTGGGCCTGATGTTACACATAGGTGAGACTGGGTGAGGACAGCAGGTTTCTTCTTCCAACATGACATTATTGCACCAGACGTGGTTTTTTGATAACAATCAACAATGATTAGATGGTCACCATTACTGAATTCACATTTCGCCATCTGCCATGGTTGGACTCAAACCTATATCCCGAGAACATCAGCCTGGTGTTTCGGATTATAGTCTACACTACACCAATGCCTCTCCTAATTTGTGTGCCAACTTTTGGCAATTTATATAAACACCTATATCAACTCCATTCCTCCCATTGAGGTGTTTAAGTATAACTCGTCACTTCCTCTCTTCCTCCACAGTGATCAACCATTTCTTTAACTAGACCTCATTTTCATCCTATCAATATAGCTGTGTTTCCACCCAACTCCGTTCCTATTTAACATTTTGTTTGTAGCTTTTTTAATGTTTACCAAATTTGTGCTTCTGATTCACTTGTTTTATTTATCTCATTTACATCTCTGAAAATAACTCTCAAACATATAAAAAATGTTTTCACCTTGCCAATAATGTCTTGCTGTTTTTTCCTCCCCCACACTGTGGATATTCCCCCTCACATCTCCCCAACAAAATTAAATCCTTCTTTGCTGCTCCATTTCCCCTTGCTGTAACGTTCCCTCTCGTTGGGGAAGCCACTCCATCTGAAAAATTCATCTCAGGAACCCAAATCCTTCCCTTTCACATAAATCATTCTAGCTAGGCACTGACAATCTCATTCTCTCCCTGCCTGTCCAGTGCATGGCACGGTGAGTAATATTGTGACTCTGACTGTGGAGGTTATGCTAATTAATGTAGAACTCAATTCTTTTAAATTCCTTCACAGGACTCCCACCTACTCCTACCAACATGACTGGTTCCTGCAGTCTCTGAATTCTCACTCTCCCATTCCACAACATTTACTATTTGCTCCACAATATGTGCACTGCCACCCAGCGGGCTATCTACCTTTCATGACTCGTGTCTACAAAATAAACCACTTAATCATCTAAGTGGAGAATCCCTGCATGTGTTTTCACCTGTAGTTTATCACAATGCAAGTTCTAAAGTCAATTAGCAATGGCAGAAGGAAGAAGCGCCATCAGTAAGCTCTTGCCAACTCTTTAGCAACTAGCATAGACCGCTCTCTCTCAGGCAGTCATTCTTCTACTCAAGGAGAAAGGTGCAAAAATTAGTGAAGGATACCCAGTAGTTACAAAATGCAGAATAGTTTCTGAATGTTCAGATTTTAAACACCTACTATTCCTCTACTCTGAGGCAGAAGATCTTAAGAACTGTTAGAAGTCTCCAAGATGGTCCATCGAATCCAAACGTCAGGTTTCTGGAAACAAAGAAGAATGAAGTGGTAACTGGACTGATCACTAAACAAAGGTTTCACAAAGAAACTTATAACTCCGGTACACTTGCATTAATTAACTTGAGGCTGAGTAAGCAGAGTTTTTGCTCCTTGGATGTTAAATTTTGCTTCTTATTTTCCAATCTTGAAATGAAACTTTGGAGAAGCTATGGAAGGAGCACCCGTTTTGGCCCCAGACCAGACCGGCAACTTTTTATGATGATCTGAGACAATTTCATCAAATTATGTTACAATCTCATTAGGGATCAGTAATCTTTAATTTTGAGTACATACAGGGGAGTTACAGTCAACTATCAAGATAAAGCCACAGATTCCACAGTTCTGAACAAACAATACTTTACCATACAAGTTACAGCAGTAACTTCACGTACAATATACGTTCAAATTATCTCTAACACAGAATTTACATGTCGTAAATATAGATAGACTGTGATTAAAACTCCACAAGACTTTTTTTTAAATCATTTGTTGGATGTCGGTGTTGCTGGCTGGCCAGCATTTATTGCCCATCCCTCACACATCGCAAATGGTGATCATGAAAGATCATATGGATTTTTCAGTAACTCTCCCCAGACATTAATGGCAGTAAATGTGATTGAACTTCATAATGAATTACAACTGTCATTTTTTTGCTGATCCAGACTTGGAACTGCCTCTCAAGAGCTGCTCTGCTGTGGACTCCTCCTGCTCTAGTCAATCAGAATCCTATCTGGGTCTACACTCCCCACCGCTCCCAGACTCCAGCACTAATTCACATCTATTTCCCTATCTCTTCACTGACAGCTAACTTCACCAAGCCAGATCTGTCCCTGGGTTTTTCCTGAGCTCTAATCCTGCTCAGTTGTAAGAAACAAATACTGCTACAAGCCTTATCAAGCCCCACTAAAGTATTAATGCTCACAGGCTCCCACCCTCTCAGCTTCCCCCAGTGTAGAACCAGTGACTTTCTCAGCTCCCCAGGACTTCTTTCGATTCCTAACTCCACAGAGCTAGTCAACTGCTCTTCAACTCTTCTCAGCAGGACAGCTCACAATCAGTCCCACACACAGGAATTTACCCAGACTGTCCAACTAAATGGTGTTCCAAAGCCGTTTCTTATTGATCCCTGAACTGGCTTGCTGAAACCACTGCCACAAACCCTGCCCCTACTTTCGACCAAAGCTGAATGTTGGCACATAACATCTTTTGGAATGGTCTGCTCTCTGCATGTCACATTTCCAGGATGCTCGAAATGTGTTCCTTCATCCACCATGGAGCAGAATCACACTGACCCGATACAGTTTGGTTTGGTCTAATTAATTTCCCTTTCCATGCCCTGTTCACCCAAAGCCATTGACTCTTGGCTGGACTACAGCGTTACAAACCTAGATGACCAACAACCGGATGTGAATCTTGATCAACATCAGCAGATTTCCATGTGGTCGGAGATACCACTGCTGAGTCTAATCCAGTTCTTCATGCAATATTCATTCAGAAATAATCCTGAGGAGTCAATCGATACTTTCCACATGTAGGAAACTTGATTGATTAAGAGGTAAAAACCGAAAGAACTGCGGATACTGTAAATCAGGAAAAAAAACAAAATTGCTGGAAAAGCTCAGCAGGTCTGGCAGCATCTGTGAAGAAAAAAAATCAGAGTTAACATTTCGGGTCTGGTGACCCTTCCCCAGAACTGTAAGATTAAGAAATAACCTCACTGAGGTGTTCAAAATTATGAATAATTTTGACGGTAAAGACAATATTTTGTTTCTACTAGTTGGTTTTTCAGTAACTAGGGGTCACAATTTCAAGATTGTCAGCCAGCAAACTAGGAGTGAAATGAGGAGAAACATTTTTACTCAGAATTGTTAGGATTTGGAATGCGCTGCCTGGGAGTGTGGTGGAAGCGGATTTTGTAGGAGGTTACAAAAGAAAGCTGGATATTTGCTTGGAAGTGATGGATTTAGAGGGTTACGAGATAGGGCTGGAGAAAGGGACTAGCTGGGTAACTGTTTCGGAAGCTGGTACAGACATGACAGGTCACATGACCTCCTTCTGTACTGTAAAATTCTATGATTCCATGATTCCTTTTAGAGTTTCTGTTACCTCCCTATACAACAATACACGATCTACTTTGAAATGTCGGTAACGTGGCATGCACCAGGCCAAGAGACTCAGGCATCAAGATCGAAATCCACCGGTGACCTTAGTTCTCTGGGAATGCCATCTTCATCCTGATTCTCCCAACCTGCATCTGTAGGCATGCACCGTACCATGCAGGTACTAGCATACTTGCAAGTGCAACATGGTTGCATGGGTAGTGCAAGGAGTGGCCAGAAGCAGACTAGTTGCGATCTTTGGACTCCTCAGCTCCCACAGAACCAACACCAGGACACTTCAGAGTCTAATTCTGCAGCTCTCAAATCTGTGTTACAGTCACATAGTTCTTCATGCTGAGTGCTGATTCATGACCAGATGGCAGAAGGAACAGGATATGGTACCTATTGCTTGATGCGGGAGAGAAATTTCCCACAAAATAGTTGTACCCACCCTTGAGAATCAATACACTAATCTGTATGTGTGACTATTCTCTAAACTGTATGCAATATCCTTTGAAGTTAGCAAATGCAAGACAAAAACTGACTTCCCAAAATTAGACTGAACGTGCTTTTTGTAAAAATTTCTGTGAGGAGGAGAATAAATAGGCCATCCTGATTTCCTGTTGTGGAAAGGTTAATACACTGAACTTTACCTCTTAAAAAAAAGTCACATTTATGACCTCTGTGCACCAAAAGTCTAGTGGAGTATTTTTCACTTGGAGACATTGATAGAATGTACAAGAAGGCACACCCTGTCTGAGTCATGGCCTCGCCCATACCTCGTAAAAGAACCACGGCCTGAACAGTCCCACCCCACCCCAGGCCTGAAGCAAATTACTCCAGACACACCAACACTGAGTCCAGTCCGTAGAGCTGGATGAATACAGCAGGCCCAGCAGCATCAGAGGAGCAGGAAGGCTGACGTTTCGGGCAAGGCTTCCTGCTTCTCTGATGCTGCTGGGCCTGCTGTGTTCATCCAGCTCTACACCTTGTTATCTCAGATTCTCCAGCATCTGCAGTCCCTACTATCACTGAGTCCAGTCATCTGTTATTCAATTGGATTGGAGGAGGTGGAGCCCAGACAGAGAGAGAAGGAAAGAAAAGTTAGGCAGACAAAGGGGATTTTTTTCTTTCCCTCATTCTGCACTCCATCTCCACCTATTCCTTGACTCATTTTCTGCCCCACATCAGCATAAATACCACCTTCTCCGAGCTGATACCAGTTCTGAAAGAGGGTTGCTGGAGTCGAAACATTTACTTTGTTTCTTTCTCCATAGATGCTGCCAGACCTGCTGAGTTTCTCCAGCTATTTCTAATTTTGTGGGTTCTCCCCAACAGTGTTCATTAACGTTGTTAACTGAGTTACAAAAACAAAAGACAGAAATTGCTGGTCAACCTGAAACTTAACTCTGATTTCTCTCCACAGATGTTGCCAGACCTACTGAGTTTTTCCAGCATTTCCTATTTTTGTTTCTGATTTACAACATCTGCAGACCTTTCAGTTTTTGTTAATTGAGGTATCTGCTTTCCCCAATCAAATGACTTTAAACAGCCATCAGACACAATAATACTTACTCCAGGAGGCCTTCATCCTGTAGAAACTGCAGCTTTCTGTCCACCAGTTCGTACTTTTCAGAAACATGGTTACAAAGGAGTTCTGAAAGTAAGATTAACAAGTATGACTTCAAATTTAAAGCTCCACCTTTTCCATTTATTCGATAAGTAATGATACAACCCGGGAATAAAAGTGAATTAGAAAAAAAGTCCACTGAGGGCATCCTGACAACATGTCCACAATGAGAGATGGTGGCATAGTGGTAATGTCACCGCACTAGTTACCAAGTGGCCCAGGCTCATGCAGTGGGGTTGTAGGTTCAAATCCCACCAAGGCAGCTGGTGAAATCTAAATTCACTTCATTAGTCTGGAATGTAAAGCTGGTCGCAGTGAGGTTGACATGTCTATTATCATCGATTGTTGTAAAAACTTATCTCGTCTATTTTTGCCCTTTAGAGAATGAAATCTGCCTTAGGCAGCCTACCCGTAACTCCAGATCCGCAGCACTCTGATTGACCTGCCCTCTGAATGGCCTACCAAGCCAATCCGGGATAGGCAACAAAAGCTGGCCTTGCCAACATCACCCGCATCCCTTGAAAGAATAAAGGGAAAAAAACTCCCCTCCGCCTAAAAGTACTAATCCCAGGAGAGGATTCTTAGCCTCTGACCTGCTCTTGTATATTTATATGTCTCGTCCAGTTCAGTTTCTGGTCTATTAACATCCTCACCTCTTGACTCCCCAGAGCCTGTCCACCATCTACAAGACACAACTCAGGAATAAGATGGAAGCCTCGCCCCTCCCTTGGACGGGTGAAGCTCCAACAACATCCAGGAAATTTGACACCACCTGGGACAAAGCTCATATGGCACCACAACCAGAACACTCACTCGGTCCACCACCGAACTCAGAAGCAGTAGTGTATATTATCTGCAAGAGGCACTGCAGAAATTCACCAAGGCTCCGTAGAGAGCACCTCACAAAGATTGAGGGAGGCACTGGCCTGGTGGTAATGTCACTGGATGAGTAATCCAGAACCTGGGCTCAAGTTCTGGGGACATGGGTTTGAATCCACGGTAGATTGTTAAAATTGAATTCAATAAAAGTTTAGAACAAAATGCTAGCCTAATGGCAATGCTGTAACCAATGTCAATTGTGAAAATCCATCTAGTTTACTAATGTCCTTTGGAGAAGGAAAGCTGCCATCTGATCCGGCCTACATCTGACTCCAGCTCCATAACAACTCTAAACTATCCTCTGGCGGCAATTAGGGATGGACAATTAATGCATCACCCACAAATTCCCCTCCAAGCCACTCACCATCCGGACTTGGAAATACATCACCGTTCCCTCACTGTCATTGGGTCAATATCCTGGAACTCTCTCCCTAATGGCATTGTGGGTGTACCTACACCAAAAGGACTGCAGCAATTCAAGATGGCAGCTCTGCACCGCCTCATCCAGGGCAACAAGGAATGGGCAATAAATGCTGTCTGCCCTACATCCCACAAATGAATTTGAAAAAGGCACCAAGAGAATCCTGAAACATCGCCAAGCTGACAAATCAAGAAAGCAAACACAAATTTAAATTATCCCTCCTTGTTGATAAAGCGAAGGCCTCAGATACACCCATCTGGAATTTACTCTCTAAATGAAATCAATGGATATTGGAGGAGGTAGAAATAATTTCCCCTGTCCCATGGATTTCCCATCAGTTAAAGTTGCCCACAACAGGCCTGTTCTTCTGGTGGCTCATTTCAAAGTATCATTTACAGATGGGGAAAGAGAACTATTCCTATTTTTTTTCAACCTGAAGTGCAGCTGGGAAACTGGAGAAGAGTCAAAAAGTAACTCAGGAAATAGGGATCCTAACTGCCACCTCTTGTGTAAAATGTTCCACGTTACAGAGAACAGGAAAACAGACTCATCAGAAGTGCAGTCAGCCTTCAGCTCAATTGTTGCAGCCTCACCTTTACTGACATATACGACATTGTGTGGATTGCTGTTTGTGAGAAATCCATATTCCAGTAGGAGCCGCTGGTTGTCATGCGGCCCATAGCAGATGAAAACCTGCTCATATCGTCTGCACTTTGTCACTGTTCGAATTTCATAATGTTTGGTTTTCTGGTTGAAAGCAGCTGTTATCTGCAAGAATAGAAATAAGAGTTAAACCCAATTTAAATCAACTCCTGATGCCTTCCAAACAGAATTGTCATTCCCCTTGTTTAACTCTCTCATGGCCTCACCCCTTTACAGGCTTACAACTTGTCCCTCTCCGTTGTTCAACGTCTGGCATCTTGTGTAACTCTTATGATCCCAGCTCACGTTATTAATGAACAGGAACCTGGTTTGATAGATATTTTTGATTTGTTTTGGATTTAACAAAGTGGTCCCTCACTGAAACATAGTCCCAAAATGCTGAAGATTTTGACTTCACAATCAAACTCAACCATCCAGGTCAAGGCAATCCATTTGATTGGCACCCCACCCATTACCTTCACCAATCTCTTCCTTCACCACGGCACATAGGGGCAGTAGTGAATATGTCCTGATGTAACCCTACTGAGCTTCCATTACCTGCAATTTTTACCAGCTGGAAGGACAATGGCAGAAAATGCCGAGGATGATCACCACCTGCAAGTTTCTGACACCATCCTGTTCTGTAAGTTATCACCATCCTCTCACTGTTGCTGAATCAAAACCCTGGAGCTCCCTCCCTAACAGAACTGTGGATATCCTTACCCCACATGGACTGTAGCAGTTGAAGGCACCACCACTTTTCTCTAGTTCATTTAGGGATGGGTAATAACTTCTGACCCAGCCTGAGCTGCCCACATCCCATGTAAGAACTTTAAAAAAAGGCACTTTCTTGAGCCATGATTTTAGATTTCCTGCTTATATTGTTTCCTGTGGTCATGATGTGGAGGTGCCGGTGTTGGACAGGGGTGGACAAGGTCAGAAGTCACATGACACCAGGTTATAGTCCAACAGGTTTATTTTAAATAACAAGCTTTCGGAGCAAAGTCACCTGATGAAGAGGCTGCCCTCTGAAAGCTTGCAATTTGAAATAAACCTGTTGGGCTATAATCTGGGGTCATGTGACTTCTGACCTTTTCCTGTCGTCAGCATCCACTTTTGTCTATTTAAGTTTTTGTGAAGCATTGTGGATGTTTTTCACGACACAAAAGATGCAATAAAAGTGCAGGTTGCTTTTGTTAAACCCCTGAACTTTGCTGCCTTTGTGACGTACCTAAATCCTTTCCCCCTCCTCCAGCCCCTTCATCCTTTCCTCACATTGAGATCCCCTGGTGAGAAGGCAGAGCAGCAAGAGCAAAGGGAGCTCAGTATCTGCTCCCTTCCCAGCTCTGAAAACAGTTGCTAGGAGAAGATTGATCAGTGGCTCAGGTTGGCTCTAAATCAAGTTGTTCCTTCCTGTGGGGAATGATATTAACATTTCGCTCCTGTCAGAATAATCTGAAAAGCATTTGGCGAGATTGCCAACTGAATGTATGAGGAGATAGAAAGCAATCCAAAATCTGAAAATGAATGCGGGAACATGTACGAAAGAGAACTGAATTTGTGCTTTGGCTGCAACGTTATATACTAATGTTATATGACTTATACAAAGAGGTAGGTGTGCCAGAGCAGAATTTGGAGTAGGTCATTCAAAATAACGCAACTAAATCAGTTCTTTCCCCGGCTACTGTCAGTTCTGTAGAAGGACTCGAAACATGAACTCTGCTTTCGCTCCACAGGTGCTGCCAGACCTGCTAAGTTTCTCCAACGATTCCTATGCTTGTTTCAGATTTCCAGCTGGAAATATACAAATCATTTCAAAAAACGTAAACCACAATCCCGGGCTGGGATGGTGATGGTGGTGCACGGAAAAGATCCTTTTAAAGATTAAATTCAATTCGCTTAACTTCAAAGCCACCACTGCTGTTGCCATGAGCCGTGAATGCGTAACATTTGTCAAGAAGGTGTGCACTAAATGTTTGATGATGCATCCTACCACGACAGCACTGGCTTTTTGGACGTGAGCCTGTTTTCTCACCTGAGCAGATGGACTGTGATTGAGGAGGTCCAAGTATGGCACCAAGGCATAGATATCTGGTTCTCGGGACAAAAACTCACTCTGCTCATGCTCCATATAAACCGTCCTGGTATTGATACTGCACCAAGCCCAGCGGAGGGCGTCGTAAGTAAAAACATTCTCTACAAGCTCTGAGAATAAGGGCTGCAGGGAACTGAAGAAGCATTTTGAAGCAAGGTACAGCTCCTGAACCACTCTCTTTTGCTCCTGAATCCTCTTAACCAGATAGCTGGGAAACAGCTCAATTACTTCCTCTGTTAAGTAAACTGGGCACGTGTATGTCCCCGGTAACACATCAATATAGGGCTTCCATGGAGACCGGCTCCCAAAATGTCTCTCAGCAATGAGAAAAGTACACAAGGCTTGGAGGGGAGACAAACAAGGCTTCCACCTAAAAATAATAAATGAAAATTTCAACAGTACAAATACAACATGCTGTACAAAAGAAACTTCAATTGCTAAAGGCGCAAAAATAAATGTAACTAACGAGACACACTGCAGCAAAAAAAAAGTACTATGGGGAATTTATAGAATCATTTAATTTTGCAGCACTGAAGATGACTATTCGATCCATGACATGTGTCAGCTCCCTGGAAGAGCTATTCCATTTGTCTCATTTCCCTGCATTTGTGTAGAAAGTGGGGGATTTTTTTTAAAAAACATGTTAAAGCTTATTAAGCCTACTCATTATGAACAGATAAAGTGATTTGGGAATATTGTTGACCAGGTTGAGCATCGCTAGATAAAGAAGAATATTTTTCAGAATTCAACAAAGGTTGTCTTTTTAAAATGATAAAATTGAATGACAGCAATATTTCTGTGCTTGGCATTGCTAAGTAAATCAAAAGCTGGTTGAATAGCCGAGTCCTGATCCTATGATCTTATAAGAACTCTCAAAAGGCATCTACTCAAAAAGAAAGACAAATTTAATTGTCTTTTACAGCCATTGGGTTCATCCACTAAACTCTGAGTTGTGTTTCACCTCAGAATGTATCCTGTAAGGTCGTGCGTGGAAACATGAGGTTCTGTAGCTTACACAGGTTTCTCTTTATTCGTTCACAGGATGAGGGCATCGCTGGCAAGGCCAAAATTTAATATTTAATAATATATTTAAATGGGCATTTAATATTGCCCATCCCTAATTGCCCAGAGGCCAGTTAAGAGTCAATAACACTGTGGTCGTTGACTTGCTCACTGAGCTGGCTTTTTCTCGTTCAGACGTTTCGTCACCATGCTAGGTGACAGCATCAGCGGAGCCTCCAATGAAGCGATGTTATTCTACTCCGCTTGGAATTCATACAGATCAAAACCAGAAATGACAGTACTCACCATAACGGACCGGACAGTATAAATTCCAAGTGGAATAGAACAACATCGCTTCATCAGCGGCTCCACCGATGATGTCACCTAGCATGGTGATGAAAAGTCTGAACGAGAACAGGTCAGCTTGGCAAGCAAGTCAACAACCTCACCCACAACCCGAGCTACAGATCTTTGCCAAAACTTTAGTCAACCACGTTGCTGTGGGTCTGGAGTCTCATGTAGGCCAGACCAGGTAAGGATGGCAGTTTCCTTCCCCAAAGAACATTAGTGAGCCAGATGGGTTTTTCCCGACAATTGGCAATGATTTCACGGTCATCATTAGATTCTTAATTCCAGGTTTTTTTTTATTGATTCAAATCCCACCATCTGCCACGGCAGGATTCGAACCGGAGTCCCAGACACTACCAAGGTCTTTGGATTAACAGTCCAATGATAATACCACTGGGCCTCCCCACAATTGGTTCCTACTTTATGATTTGGCCAGGACTTAACAGCTTCGTTGTAGAATCTTAGTCAACTCTTACATTATCCATTAACATGTGACATTAACATGTGACAACTGTCTTGCTTGAAATAACTCAGCTTCAGCGCACAGAAAGTAACCATTTAGTGTCGGAGCAGGCAAAGGACGCTGTCTTTGGCTCCCTCAACCACTTACAGGTTCAAGGCAAACACAGCCATTTCATTTATGGAATTCTGTGAAATCATCTCAGTGCCGAGCATGAATCTCCCAAATTCCAAGATCCCGCCTTTTCCAGCCCTCCAACCATTCTTAACACCTGTTGGAATTCTCAAAGTCCTTCCCTCAGGATGCAGGCAAAAGACGAAGTTGGGGTTTATTTACATACTTGACTGCAGCTCTCTTGTCATCACACAGCGATTAAAGAGTTGTTAGCTTTGCTCTTTGAACCTCACCCTCCAACGAAGTTTTGCAAAGAAATATATTCAGGAATAAAATATTTGTTTTATGTCTATCATCATCGGTTGGATTACATTTAGTCTCCATTAAGTAAGATCACCTGCTTTTATAAGTTGACTTCTACTGGATTAATACAACAGAATCTAGCACCATGGTCATAACTTACCTCTTAATGTATTCACCCAAATAACCCCTTAGGATAGTGCTGGTGGTGAGCAGACATTTCTCAGGTAATGCAATAACAAGATCTCCCGGCTAAGGAAGAAACCAAAACAGAGTGGTTTTACATTATATATACTTGCTATATTGCTTCTTCAAGAAGCAGGACTAGGCAACAGAGAATCTGGGCTGAAACTTAAAACATTTAATCTGCCATAGCTCTTACCTCAAATTGGAGAAAGTGCGTTAAAAAGAGATAAAAGTCTCACCCACACAAAACATCATCTCCCAGGGAACAAAATGACTTTTTCGGAACTCCCAGTGTACCATTTGTCAGCCACACCAAGGTGAAAGACCAGCCCAATCACATAATTAACGGAATCCCATACATTGCTAACATTGAGGAATATCAGGGACCCAAAGAAAAACAGCAAACTGAACAACAGGCCACTTCACCTGGGACAACAAAGCATTTGAAAAGCAAGAGGAGGAGGAAAGTAATATGATCTCCATTGATACTGATAACTTTTTAAAATAAATTCACACCTTAATAGTTGAAAGGACATGACAAAATTTCATGTTGTAAGATGTTTACTGTAAAAAAAGAATAAAAGCACTACTTAATAGGCACTAAGCACTATCTTTGCACCCGACTTCTATTTTAAACCACACAGAAAATACTCTATTATTTTTAGCACAACCAAGAAAACACAATTCACAGGGATATGTTTACATTGTTCCTTAGGCAACATACAATTTTCCCAGAATTAGTCCAAATCATTTTTATCCTGAGGGTTTATTTCTGTTATTTTCCTGACAACTTCTGCATTCCTGCAACTTTCAATCAAGACAGAAAACCTCACAACCTTTAAAAAGTACCTGGTTGAGCAATTGAACTGTCAAATACCACTAGGCCTCCCCATAATTGTTCCTACTTTATGATTTGGTCTGGACGCCACAGCTTCATTGTGGAATCTTAGTCAACTCTTACGTTATCCATTAACATGTGACATTAACATGTGACAACTGTCTTGCTTGAAATAACTCAGCTTCAGCACGCAGAAAGTAATCATTTAGTGTCGGAGCAGGCAAAGGACGCTGTCTTTGGCTCCCTCAACCACTTACAGGTTCAAGGCAAACACAGCCACTTCATTTAGGGAATTCTGTGAAATCACCTCAGTGCCAAGCATGAATCTCCCAAATTCCAAGACCCCTCCTTTTCCAGCCCTCCAACCATTCTTAGTACCTGTTGGAATTCTCAAAATCCTTCCCTCAGAATGCAGGCAAAAGGGACAGCACAGTGGCTCAGTGGCTAGCACTGCTGCCTTACAGCGCCAGGGACCGGGGTTCGATTCCAACTTCAGGTGACTGTCTGTGTGGAGTTTGCATGTTCTCCCTGTGTCTGCGTGGATTTCCTCTGGGTACTCTGGTTTCCTCCCACAGTCTAAAGATGTGCAGGGTAGGTGGGTTGGCCATGCTAAATTGCCCATAGTGCCCAGGGATGTTTAGGTTGAGTGGGTTAACCATAGGAAATACAGGGGTAGGGAAATGCGTCTGGGTGGGATGCTCTTTGAAGGGGTGGTGTGGACTTGTTGGGCCGAATGGCCTGTTTCCATACTGTAGGGATTCTATGATCTATAAACATTCAACACAGGGGTCAAGTACTGGGAAGTGGGTCCAGTAGGGGTTTAAGAGTAGCTTTTGTTGGTACAGACACAATGGGCTGAAGGGCCTCTTCTGTACTATATGATTCTATGATTCGCAGAATGATCCTTAACATTGAGGTAATTTCTCTCCAGCACAAGCTAGGCAAATTTTACAACTTCATTTTAACTCTTCACAAATTCATAAAATCAATTTGAGTGTGAAGTTCCAACCATTTTCAGCGCAGACATTCTGCTTTCAGCCATCCCCAGCTCAGATGCTGGCAGACTAACACACTTGCAAGTGATATTTTAGAAAAGGCTGCAACCTGATTCTTACAAGGGCTTACTCTGCATCCTCTCTGTAGTACTTTGAATCACATGGGCCTTCTATCCAGGTGTAAATGCTGAAGTGACCCTCGAGAGCACAACTCTCTTTCACCTTTGGAAGTAAATGCATATCTTAAAGCACAACTATTTACAATCTAATATTTTTAATACTTTCTGCCCACTGGCATCACAACTGCCTTTACCAGTGGCTTCAAGTATGAATATCTTAAATCATTTGTCCCAGTGCAGCAATCTTGACCTTCTTTTAATCTCTAACGGCCTCATCACCCAGGCAGACATCAGCACAGCTCACACAAACCCCCTTCATGCTACATGACTTTTAAAAGCACAATCCCAACACATGATGTTCTTATAATCTCCATAAATAACTGAAGGAGAAATGAATTGATGGAATTCATTATTCAAATCACTGACCGCAAGTGCTTTTCTGGTCATTAATCCTCTGCCAATATCTGAATGAAAAAGAATGGACACAAGTATTATTTATTCTTTGGCAATATTCAGAGAATGGTTTCAAAAAAATATATATTATTCCTTATACAAATAGATTACTAGCAATAACCACATTTACATACCACTAAAAACTCAAAATGAGCACCATAATGAATCTACAAGTAATTCTGTGTGCAATAACCTCGCTGTGCTATAACTTTGGGTCACAAATCTGCAAAATCATCAGATCCCTTTACTGTTGCCTTGGCACTAAATCAGTTTTCCTGCAGGACACTAATAATTAATAAAAACCTGTAACTATAGCACTAGAGATAGTAGAAACTGCAGATGCTGGAGAATCCGAGACAACAAGGTGCAGGGCTGGATGAACACAGCAGGCCAAGCAGCATCATAGGACTATGATGCTGCTTGGCCTGCTGTGTTCATCCAACTATAGCACTATTTTCTTTTGGGTAATTTAGGCTGTCTTTTGGAAGTTGAGGGTGCTCAGAAGAATGTAACATTATGTAACAACTTATCAAAACTAATATCAAAACTATCAAAAGAAGCCTTTTTAACTTTGTAGACAGGATATCACCAGAGAGCTCGTATCAACTTTGAAATGTTAATAAAGTTACATCACATAATGGTGTGGGCCGTGATGTCACCTTGTTATTCAGAGATGAGAGTGAAAACACCGAGACACGCTGACATTTTAAATGTGACATTTACGGAATTCGCACAAGCACTGATATCTGTCAATACGCCTCTGCCAATCTCGGACTTTGTAAAGCATACGTTTTAAAATAATTACTCTAAAGATATGAATCTACATATAAAATAACAGTGGAAAAAGATAGCTGTTATTAATTGCTTTTGAAAGTACCACAAGGTCCACAGGCACAAAGGTGCTTTCAAAACAGACATGCTAATTTAATTTTCATTGTTTATTTCCACCAGGCTCAAGAAACAAATTGTGAACTTATCAGCACAATTTACTAGCTGTATTCAAACATGCTTCACCATCAGATATCAGACATCTTACAACATGCCTCTGAAGCAGATGGGATTTGCATCCAGGACCACTAACTCAGAGGCAGGGACCCTACCACTGTGCCACATGAGCCCTTGTGCTTCACTGTGAGGTATTTTCTAATCAACCTGTTCAGAGATGTTATTGCACATTCTGGAGCAGATGGGACTTAAATCCGGGCTTCCTGACTCAGAGGTAGGGCCACTATCATAGCACCTCTACAGCCTCTCAGGCTGCAGCTGAACATTTTTCTTCCCCAAGTGTTTCTGAATCAATTACCAATTTACATGCAAAAGCTGTGACAGGCAATGTAATGGCAACAAACGGGAGGGATGGGTAGAAGAGAAGGAAGGGACTGAATCAAAATAGAGTTGGAGTGGGAAATAAGGCATTCCATCCCACAGTGCCCACCTTACTCGAAAGGAGACTGCAGTCAGATTGAATAAAACTGAATTGTGAACACAATAATCCAATCTTGGTACATTTGCTCAAAGAATGGGGGCCTCACTAGCTAGGCCATTATTTATTGCTTATTTCTAGTTGCCCTTGAGAAAGTGTGGTAAGCTGCCTTCTTGAACCGTTGCAGCCCTTCGTGCAAAAAGTTGTGGTTAAGCCTAGTTTGATATTTGTGCCTACAGGTACATTTAAGTAGGAAAATACCCCTGACATTAAAATAAAAATACAGTGTTGCAACACAATATGAAATGCTATAGCTGTGCCCTGCCCTTGTTCATTCAGTGCCTATTTAAATGTTGAAGGAAGTTGGGGAGGGACCTTGATATAAAATGAAGTCACATACCTGGAAAATTTGCTGGCACCAAGTAGAAGCCATTGAAGCCCTTCTTTTTAAGCCACTTCCTCAGCTGCACAAAATCTGGCTCGTGACTGATGTTGGCTGTGCAAAATTGACAGACTTAATTACAATTTTACAGGCTATTCCGTTTAAGTGTCTACATCAGACTCGTTGATCTGGCTGGAACTAAATCGATATTGCACATAAATGTGCATTCTCTTCCAAGTGGCAATGTGTATTTCTTCTTGGCCTCTCTCTGCTGAAGACTGCAACTCAAACTGGGATATAATTCCACAGAGCAGGCAAGTACCTGTTCTTCCTTCACCACCCTGGGCTATAGGAGAACTGCATAGCCTTATCCCAATTTTGCAAGGCTTCTAGTTACTTATTGCTTTCCTACAGCAACACTACATTGCAATGAGCAATAGGAGCCCTAGGGCGACTGACAACATCCAACTACTTGCACAACGAAGGCCACAAGATATAGCAACAGAATTAGATTATTTGGCCCATTTAGTCTGCTCTGTTATTCAATCATGGCTCATATCTTTCTTAAACCTGTTCTCCTGCCTTCTTCCCATAACTGTTGATCCCCTTGCTGATCAAGAACCTATCTGTACCTGTCTTAAACACACTCAATGACTTTACCTCCACAGCCTTCTGCAGCAATGAGTTCCACAGATTAACTGTCCTCTGGCTGAAGAAATCCTTCTTCATCTCAGTTCTAAAGGGTCATCCCTTCATTCTGAGGCTGTGCCCTCAGGTCCTAGCCTCTCCTTCTCGTTGAACTATCTTCTCCACATTCACTGTATCTATGCCTGTCATTATTCTGTAAGTTTCAATCATATCCCCCTTATCCTTTGAAACTCCATCAAGTATAGACCCAGAGTCCTCAACCGCTCCTCATACGACAAGCCCCTCATTCCTGGGATCATTCTTGTGAACCTCCTTTGGACTCTTCCAAAGCCAGCACATCCTTTCTTAGATACTGGACCCAAAACTGCTCACAATATTCCAAATGCAGTCTTACCAGAGTCTTTTACAGCCTCAGCAGTAACTCTCTGCTGTTGTATTCTAGCACTCTCAAAGTGAATGCTAACATTACATTTGCCTTCCTAACTGCTAATTGCACCTGCATGTTACCCGTAAGAGAATCCTGCCTTAGGACTTCCAAATCCCTTTTGTGTTCCAGATTTCTCCAATTTCTCCATTTCAACCTTTCCCCATTTAGAAAACATTTTTCTATTTTTCCTACCAAGTGGATAACCTCACACTTTCCCACATTGTATTCCGTCTAACACTTCTTCGCACAGTTTCCTAGCCTGTCCAAGTCCTTCTGCAACCTTCCCACCTCCTCAACATTACCTGACCCTCCCACTATCATTGTGTCATTGCAAACATAGCAACAATGCCCTTAGTTCACTATCTAGATCATTAATGTATAAAATGAACAGTTGTGATCCCAACACTGACCCCTGCAGATCTCCACTGCCATCCTGAAAAAGACCCCCTTTATCCACATTCTCTGCCTTCTGCCAGCCAGCCAATCCTCTATTCATGCCAGTACCTTGTCCCTAACACCATGGGCTCTTAATTTATTTATCAGCCTCTTGGGCAGCTCTATCAAAAGCCTAGGAACATGGGCAATTCAGCCCTTTGAGCCCTCTCCCACCATTTAACATGATCTTGGCTGATCTTACCCTGGTCTCACCTCCACTTTCCTGCCTGCTCCCCGTAACCCTTTATCCTGATTTTCATCAGAAACATATCTATTTCTTTCTTGAACCTGTTGATTGATTCTGCCTCCATTGCACCCTGGGGCAGGGAGTTCCACAGATTCACAACGCTCGGACAGAGGTGATTTCTCCTCACCTCAGTTTTGAACCTACCTCCTCTCATTCTTTTTCTATGACCTCTTGTTTGACACAAGGGGGAACATCCACCGTAACAATCTGTTTCAGCATTTTATATACCTCAATCAAATCCTACTCCCCACCCACCCCAATTCCTCTGAACTCCAGTGAGTACAGGCCCAAGTTATTCAATGGCTCTTCATATGACAGCCGATTCATCCCTGGAATCAATCTGGTGAACCTCCTCTTAACCTGCTTCCACTGCCACCACACCCTTCCTCAAGTAAGGAGACCAAAGCAGGACACAATACTCCAGGTGTGGTCTCACCAACACCTTATATAATTGTAACAACACTTTTCTTCTAAAAATCCAGTCCATTTACAATAAATGCCAAACTTCCATTGCCTTTCTTATTATATGCTGCAACTGCATACCCACATTCTACGAGTAATGCACAAGGACACCTGTATCCCTCTGCACTGATGCACTTTGAATCCATTTCCCATTTAAATAATAATTTTCGCCTTTATTTTTCCAGCCAAAATGGATAAGCCTGCACTTATCCACATTAAACTCCACCTGCCAGATTCTGGCCCATTCTCCTGGCCTATCGATATTCTTCTGGAAATCCAAATGAATCATGTCCACTGGCTCATTACCTCCTCAAAGAATTCGAACCATTTATCAGGCATGACCTCCCCTTGATGAAGCCGCACGGACTCCATCCTATTTTACCATCCACTTCCAAGTACTCCGCAATCTCATGCTTAATAATGGACTCTAAAATCTCTCCAACGACCAAGGTCAGGCTAACAGGCCTATAATTTCCTGAATTCTACATCCATCCTTTCTTAAACAGGGTGTTACATTGCTCATTTTCCAGTCCTTTGGGACCCTACCTGACTCCAGTGATTCCTGAAAGATCCCCAACAATGCCTCTACAATTTCCTCAACTGTCTCCTCCAGAACCCTGGGATGTAGTCAATCCAGTCCAAGTGATTGATCCACCTTCAGACATTTCAGCTTCCTCATTATTTACTCCTTAATGATCGTCACTACACTCACCTTCACCTCCCGCCTCTCCAGGTTCTGGTATGCTGCTTGTGTCTTCCACTGTGCAAACTGATGCAAGGTACCTTTTCAGTTCCTCCAGCATTTCTCTGTTCCCCTTTACTACTTCTCCAGCCTCATTTTCCAGTGTCCACTCTTGCCTCACTCGTTACCTCTTAGATATCTCAAAAAACTCTTGCAATCTTTTTTTCATATTACTAGCTGGCTTTCCCTTATATTTCATCATCTCTTTCCTTATTGAATTTTTAGATGCCCTCTGCTGGTTTTTAAAGGCTTCCCAAAACTCTAGCTTCCCGCTAATCTTCACCACACTGCATGCACTTTCTTTTGTTTTTATGCTGTTCCTGACTTCTCTTGTCAGCTTTGGTTGCTTTATCCTCCCCTAAATGTTTCCTTTCCCTTGGGATGAATTTCTGCTGTGCCTCCCTAATTAGCCTCAGAAACTCCTGCCATTGCTACTCCATCATCTTCCCTGCTCGGCTACCCTTCCAATCAACTCTAGCCAGCTCTTCCCTCATGTCTTTGTAGTTATCTTTTCTCAGTTGTAAGATTGTTACATCTGATTCAAGCTTCTCCCCCTCAAACCTTGGGGTGAATTCTACCATACAAGGTCAATACCCCCAGGGATTCCTTCACCTTAAGCTCAACCAAGCCAACCAGGTTTCCTAAACTGAACCAATCTCATTTACCTGAATTTGACCCATTATCCCTCTCAACCTTTCCTGTCCCTACGCTGTCCAAATGGCTTTTAAATGTATTAACTGTACTCGCCTCTACCACTTCCTCTGGCAGCTCATTCCATATACACACCACTCTCTGTGAAAAAGTTGCCCCTTAGGTCCCTTTTAAATCTTGCCCCTCTCACCTTAAACCTATGCCCTCTAGTTTTGGACTCCCCTCCCCTGTAGAGAAGACCTTGGCTATTCGCCTTATCTATGCTCGTTATGATTTTATAAACCTCTAGAAGGTCACTCCTCAGCCTCCAATGCTTTCGGGAAAAAAGTCCCAGCCTATCCAGCATCTCCTTATAACTCAACCGCTCCAGTTTCAGTAACATCCTTGCTAATATTTTTTGCACCTTTTCCAGTTTAAATAACATCCTTCCTATAGCAGGGAGACCAGAATTGTATGCAGTACTCCAAATGTGGCCTTACCAATGTCTTGTACAGTCGCAACATGACATTCCATCTCCTGCATTTGATGCACTGACCAATGAAGGCAAGCATGCCAAAAGCCTTCTTCACCACCCTATCTACCTGTGATGCCACTTTCAAGAAACTATGTACCTGCACCCCTAGATCTCTCTGTTTGACAACATTCCCCAGGATCCTACCATTAACTGTAAAAGTCCTGCCTTGGTTTATCTTATGAAAGTGCAACACCTTGCATTTATCAAAATTAAACTCCATCTGCCATTCCTCAGCTTACTGGCTCAGTTGATCAAAATCCCATTGTACTCTTAGATAACCTTCTTTACTGTCCACTATACCACCAATTTTGGTGTCTTTCACAAACTTACTAACCATGCCTCCTCTCCTCATATCCAAATTGTTTATAATAAAAGGACAAACAACAGTGGACCCAGTACAATCCTTGTGGCAAACCACTGGTCACAGGCCTCCAGTCTGAAAACAACCCTCTACTATCACCCTCTGTTTCCTACCATCAATGCAATTTTGTATCCAATTGGTTAGCTCCCTCTGGATCCCATGTGATCTGACCTTACTAACCAGTCTACCATGCTGAACCTTGGTGAAGGCCTTGCTAAAGTCCATGTAGACAACATCTACCGCTCTGCTTTCAGCTATCTTCTTGGTCACCCCTTCAAAAAACTCTATCAAGTTTGTGAGACATGATTTCCCAAGCACAAAGCCATGCTGACTATCCCCAATCGGTCCTTGCCTTTCCGAATGCATGTAGATCCTGTTGCTCAGAATCCCCTCCAATAACTTACCCACCACTGACATCAGGCTCACCCAAATGTAGTTCCCTGGCTTTTTCTTGCAGCCTTTCCTAAATAATGGCACAACATTAGCCACCCTCCAATCTTCCAGCACCTCACCCATGGCTATCGATGATACAAATATCTCCATTAGGGGTCCCACAATTTCTTGCCCAGCTTCCCACAATGTCCTAGGATACACTTGATCAGGTCATAGGGATTTATCTATCTTTATGTGTTTTAGGACCTCCAGTACCTCCTGTTCTGTAATGTGGACTCTTTGGAAGACAATATTATTTATTTTCCCCGAGTTCCCTAGCTTCTATGTCTTTGTCCACAGTAAATACTGACATGGGGGAGGCAATGGCCTAGTGGTATTATCACTGGACTGTTAATCCAGAGACCCCCTGGCAACGTTCTGGGGACCAGGTTCAAATCCCACCATAGCAGATGGTAGAATTTGAATTCAATAAAAAAAATCTGGAATTAAGAATCTAATGATGACCGTGAATCCTTTGCCAATTATCATTAAAAAAAAAAACCATGTGGTTCACTAATGTCCTTTAGGGAAGGAAACTGCCATCCTTACCTGGTCTAGGCCTACATGTGACTCCAGACCCACAGCAATGTGGCTGACTCTGAACTGCCTGCTAGGCAATTAGGGATGGACAATAAATGCTGCCTAGCCAGTGACACCCTCATCCCATTAATGAATAGAAAAACAAATATTAATTTAGGATCTCACCTATCTCCTGTGGTTCCACACATAGGTAGCCCTGTTGAACTTTAACGCACTTCTTGCTAACAATTTAATTTTGTTTCTTACTAACAAGACAAACCTTCCCCCTCTGCCTGTACTTTTGATAGGGCACATAGCCATGGATATTTAGCTCCCATTGCAGCCACATCTCTGTGATGCCCACAACATTGTACTGCCAATTGCAGCCTGCACTACAAGCTCATTTACCTTGTAACCTATACTGTTTGCATTTAAGTGCAACACCGTTAGTCTTGCATCACCTGCCCTCCCTTCTCATAGGTGTCCCCTCACCTTCTGTGCCTGAAGTTAGATGCCTGACCCCTGCCATATTCTCTGTCCTATGACTTGTTCTGGAAACTTAAATGACCCCTCCTTTACTATTTTAAAGTCCTTGTGACCTCGATTTACCTGAATTTGTGCCATCGGGTCATCAAACTTATTCCAAAAACTTGGTGCATTAAAATATGAAGCCCTTGTTTGCTCCATTAACAAATTTTCCCTGCACTTTTATGGTTCCTCAATACAATATTACATTCACACATTCTGACCCTTCCTTTTATTTTCTGGTTACAATCAACCCCATCAGTAACTAGTAACCCTATCTTCTCCTTCATCTCTCATTTTATAATTTTCCATGCAACTAACACCTCCACCCCCACGATGTAGTTTAAAACCCTATCCACAACCCTAGTTGTGCAATTAACCAGGACTCTGGTCCAGCATGATTCAGGTGGAGCCCATCTCATCAGAACAGGTCCCTCCTTCCCCAGTTGAATTTGAACCCTTTCTCCCACACCAATCCTAAAGCCACGTGTTTACCTCTTTAATATTGTTGACCCTGTGTCAATTTAGTCAGTCTAGAATTTCAATTGAACCATTAAGATCAACATGAAAGTAAAATCCCTTCTTGGACAAAGGTTATTTTTTATTCATTCCCAGGGTGAGGGTGTCACCAACTGGGCCAGCATTTATTGTCCAGAGCGCAGCTAAGAATCAATCACATTTGTTGTGGAGTGACATGTAGGCCAGATCAGGTAAGGATGACAGTTTCCTTCCCTAAAGAACATTAATGAGTTGAAGCAAACTATGTAGCAATTAAAACATTAATAACAACTTGCAGTGTCTTATTCATGGGAAGCTTTGTCCAGCCTCTACCCTCATGAAGATTTTATAATGGAATCAGAGATAGTAGGAACTGCAGATGCTGGAGAATCCGAGATAACAA